GTGTGTGTGTGTGTGTGTGTGTGTGTGTGCGCGCGTGCGTATGTGTGTGTGCGCGTGCGTGCGTGCACGTGCGCGCACGCGTGTGTGCGTGCGTGCGTGTGTTTGTGTGTGTTTGTGTGTGTTTGTGCGTGTGTGTGTGTGTGTGTGTGTGTGTGTGCGTGCGCGCGCGCACACGCGTGTGTGTGTGTGGGTCCGCATGCGTACGCATGTGTGTGCGCACAAAAACAAGGATACTCAGGAAGAAGCGGCCCAAACAAATAATCGACGGCTGTGGGCAGCGCTCCTGCGGCCCCACACCTGATGCCATTGTGTGAGCAGGTTGATGTTGACGTTGAGGCGGTCCAGCCCGTAGGCCAGGACCGCTGCTGAGCACGTCTGCGGCAACAGCAGGGGCATGTCCACAGAACATGGGGTCAGAGCTCAAAGGCGATCGTGCCGCTGGCTGTTGGTTGTGTGATAATCGACCGCATGTAAGGAGCGATACGTCGGCCTGGGCAGTTTGCGCGAGCGGCATGAGGGCACGGCAGGCCGCTTCGAGGCAGTGGAGGGGTTCGCGCTCACGTCCCAGCTGGTGGCCTGGAGCTGCGGCAGGAAGCAGCGCTGGTACCAGTTGACGCGCATGGCCGACAGCTGGGTGCGGTCGATGGCGCGCGCCATGGTCGCGGTGTCGTACACGTTGCTGCGGGGCGCGGTCCCGCCAAGCAAGGGGTGGGTCTTGGGCGGGGCAGCACTGACAGGGCGGCAAGTAGCCGCAAACAACCAAACATTCTGAGCACAGGCCATCACAAGCCGACAAAAGCAAGCAAGGGTGTGCAACTGCCGGCCTCTGCAGCCGCAGCTGTACTCCCATGGCCACGGTCGTGCAGCATCGCCCCATGAAGCTGCGCTCACATGAAGCGGCCCTGGATCTGGGTGCTGAGGATGACATAGCCTGCAATGTGGGCCGCCAGGATGACGCCCACCACAAGCCAGGTGCGGCTGAGGCGCTGGCTGGCGCTCTGGGCGGTGGCGCACGTCATCAGCCGGTTGAGCTTCTTCAGGCGCTTGGCGCGTCTGGTGAGGGGCACGGGCGAGCAGGGGGACGCGTGAAAGAAGGGCTGCTTGGCAGCCGCTGCATGTGCTCCGTTTGATCTAATGCCATGTGGGCGGGGATCGTGGGTGCCAGTGCCCCCCAGCAATCACCAGCGGCTACACCAAGGACACCCTACCTGGAATCAATCGCCAGGTCCTCGTCTCCGCCGTCACCCGTTGCGCTGATGACGCTGCTGGCCCCGTCCTGCCCCTCCGAACCCGACACCTGGCTCGCCCCGTCCCCAGCCGACGGCGCGCCACCGTCGTCGGAGCCGCCAGGACCGCGCATGGGGGATGCAGCGTGCCCTGATGCGCTCGGGGCCGCCTGCGCCTCGCCGCGAGCCTTCCCGGGCACCACTCCGCCCCGGCGCTCACCACCCCACAGCCCGCCTGCCTTGCTAAGGCCGCCGTCATGCCGCCTAAACTCTTCCTCGTCGGTGAGATCCTCCTCATCTCTCTTGCGGCTGAGGGCTGCGCCGTGCCGCGCAGGAGGCATGGTGGTGGCCTGGCTGCCAGCGTCGCTGCCGCTGTCTGAGCCGCTATCGTCCTGCGGCCCTGAGTCCTCGGCCGCGCCCTTGCCTGGAGCGGCGAATTGTGGGCCCGCTGGCCCGGCACCTGTGAGAGCCAGGAATGGTGCGATGCTGCCGCAAGAGGGCTCCCGAAGTCGAATGCGCACGATCAGCCTGTCGGATCCAATCTTGCCGGGCTTTGCTGTTGCCTGCGGCGGCACAGGGGGACGCGGACCACATACGTTGGCACCGCTGGCAATGGCGGCGGCAGCATCGGCAGCAATTTTGACAAGTTTGCATGCTCTTTTTGTCAAGATCAAGCACCACCCTCCCTGGAGCCAGCCATTCCCAGAAAACCCGAGTTCGCACCTGCATCTCCAGCCCAAGCTTCTGCCCATCAGCATGTGTTATCGTGAGCGCCATGACTGGCCCGACCTTGGGCACATTACCCGCCTTGAGCCCGCTGCGTGCGCGCGCGACCTTGGCCGCGCCGGCCTTGGGCGGTGCCGCCATCAGATCTGCGTTTGTGAACTCACGCGGCAGGCCGACGAGCCTGCGGAATAGGGAGCATCATGGGCCGAAACATGAGAGCTTACTCTCCCCCAAACACAGTCGTGCTGGTGTGTGGAACATGGAGCAGCTGCGCCGCAGCGAGTCTGGCGCGGCCTAGCGGGCGATGGCGCTGTTCGACGCCATTTTACTGCCTGGTGGGGCAACCCCTTGTCCTCACCTCCTGAAGTCCCTCTTGACGAGCCCCTTGGACCCGCAACACAGCAGCACCCCCGCAGCAGCGTCGGCAGACGCGACCGCCAGGGAACCGTCCAGCTCCAGCAGCGAGACCAGCGCGTCTGCGCGCCACAGCACCACCTGCAGCGACGGCGCCGCGTCTTCGCCGCCGTCCTCACCGCCGGTGCTGCTGCCCCTCCCGCCAGCCGCATCGGCCCCATGCACCGAGACGAGGAACTGCATCAGCGCGGGGCGCTCGCGGTCGCGCCGGCGCAGCGCTGCGAGCAGCGACCCGCCGCCGCCGGCCGTGTCGGCCCGGTCGGTGTCCGCGGCGTTGCCCGCGCCCGGCGCGCGCACGCCCACGCGCCACGACTCGTTGGTTCCCTCCAGCGCGCGCGTCGCCAGCAGAGTGAGCAGGCTGGTGTCCTCCCCAAACTTGGCGGCCCACTCGCTGAAAACGTTGATAAAGCTGCGCAGCGGCTGGCCGACCAGCGCCTGAGGCGGCACGGCGCGTTGGTTACGGTTGTTGGCGTCAAAATCAGGGCTCAGCGGATTTTGTGAACGTGCATGTCTTGCTTTGCTCGTGCTAAGCGTGATGCTGGGAGCAACAGCACGATGAAATCAGCCTCTTGGCGGCCTCGAGAGCAAGGACCCCCCTTGCTCACCTCTGGCTCAAAGCCAAACACAGTCTTGGTGGTGCCGAGGCTGACCCGCGATACGCGCCCGCCTTGGTCCACGTCCAGCACGATCCTCTGGATGTCCAGCCGCGCGGCATCAGACGACGGCGAGATGCGCACCACGTGCAGCAGGTGGTCGCCGTCCTTGCGCTGGGAGAGCTGCAGGGTGACGGACACCTTGGAGCCGTTGGAGCGCAGCAGGTGCACCACGGCGCCGGCGCGGCAGCTGGTGATCGGCGGCTTGTGGGACAGGTCTTGCTGTTGGGGTGTGGGGGGGCGGGGCACAGCAGAAGGGGTCAACGCGCGCAGCACAGGTGTCCCGTGTGCTTCAGATCACACGAGGGGCCTCCAGGGTCATGATGGTTGAAGATGCACCCCTAGGAACTGCTCAGCCCAGGCTTCCACCAGCCCAGCTCACACCTCCTATGCGGCACTGATGTGTTAAGTATTGGGTTGTAGAGTTGCGCGTGTGTACGTACGCGTGACACACACACACACACACACACACACACACAAACACACACACACACACACATGCGTGCATGAATGCACACACGCATACACATGTATGCACCACAAGGCACACACACAAGCACGCACACGCACGCAGGCATTGAGCACGCAGCACGCCCTCGCACCTTGAGAAAGCCTGGGTGCGCGAGCAGCTGGCTGTAGGGTGGCGGGACGATGCTGCCCAGCGCCATGCCCTCCAGGTGGCGGCGGCTGTAGCCCAGCATGGTGCCCAGCTGGGAGGTGGCGTGAACAATCTGGCCCTTGTGGGCACTGACCACCATCAGGGGGCCGGTGGGAACCTCGGCCTGGGGCGGTGGGGCGGTGGGGTACAGTGCGAGCTGGGAGGGTGCGGTGCGGGTGCTACGCAGGGCTGAGGGCGGTGGGGCATATCCCAAGCAACAAGCCAAAGCAGGAACCAAGCAGTCTTGGATTTAATGACAACTTTCTTGACAACCCATTAGCTGTTGGTCGTCCTTGAAACACTCCTTTGTGCTTGCTGAGATGACTCGCCCGGCAGACCGTGTGCTGCGCCTGCGAAGGCAAACCTAGGGCAACCCCGGCGATGCACACCCATAGCAGCAGACCCCCCCACCTCAATATTCAGGATGATGACCCTCTCGGTGTCAGTGCCACCCATCTCAGCTGTCACATGCACGTCCACGGGCGGCAAAAACCTGCAGGGTCAGGGGGTCACGGTGTGCGCAGCTCTGTGCGGCCCCGTTCCCCGCGGCGACGGGCTGCTGCAGGTGCTCTTCCTGGCAAGTGCTCTTCACACACAGTCGGAGGCATTAATAATGCACGCATAATAATGCAGGTTGCAGCCCAGGTGCCGGAGCACAACCACTTGATGCCCTCTCAAACGCCCCACCTGTGCAGCAGCTGTGTGTCGGCATACACCTCCCCTCTATCCAGCTCTTCCACGGTCGCCTCAGTGGCGCGCGCAATCAGCCTGTTCGCCATCACAAAAAGCGACCACGATGGGGGCAGCAGAACACAAGGGAGCTCCCTTGGAGCAGATGCTTTGCATAGCAGCACTTCATATGAATGCGAACCCCGCATTTTGGAAAGTGGCGCAGCAGATGAGGCTTCCTTGTTTTAGAGGGGCCCCACAAACAAACATGCGTCCAGGCAGTGCACATAAGCAGGTTTGCGTCCCAGGGAACCTACAACAACCCTCACTTGTTGAGTCCAGGCATATCCGGGCCGAGGGATGAGAAGAAGCGACCCACCAGGTCCTCATTAGGGACACCAAAGCAGTTGGAGAAGTGCACATCAGCACACAGCACCATACCACTTCCTGGCGCCAACCACACCTGTGGCGCAGCGGGGCGCCGCGATCGCACGCACTCAGTTCAGACGAGTAATCATGCAAAGGATAACACCCCACAGCTATGAAATGTGCGCATCTGAAGTCTGCCTTGTCTGCGAGGCTGCTGCACGGCCCTTCGTAATCGACAGTGCCATCCTGCAGCGGCCAGCGCGGCGGCTGGCGATGCAGGCACAGCAGAGCAGCACATAAACGCCGCAACGTTCACATGATGTGGCTGGCACCTCAGGGCGGCGGGGGGTGTTGAGGACCAGCCGTGGCCCCCACTCACCCTGACCCTGGTGCTGTCGGCTTCCTCTACTCGCCTCACCACCCCCAGGAACACGGCGTCCTGCATGTGTGGGCAACGACAGCCAGGTGCGAATCAGCAGAGGGGTCGCCAAAAGAAGACCAGCCAACCAGTGGGCTTGCTGCTCCCAGGTCACATCCTGGGACAGGTCTGGCCGCACGGCAGAGCCGAACCGATCACGCAGGGCACCAAGCGTCTGCGCAGTCCTGCTCTGTAGCTGGCTGTGAGTTCAAACCAGCCAGAGCCATTGCGCAGCGCACGCGCACCTGCCCCAAGCCGGATATCTTGACCACCGTTAGGTTGGCCGGGAACATGGTGCGCTGCTTGGTCAAGCCGATGACGGAGCGGCGCGTGTCGAGGATGTGAGGCACGCCGGTGGTGGCGTAGCGGCTGAGATAGCCGTTGTGGCGCGATGAAAACGGTTGGGGCCTGCGTGTAGAGTGCGTGACAGTGAACAATCTGGATGAGGATGTAACCAGCCACTTCCACTTGACTGCCAAGCCTGGGCTTGAGACACCCTTTGCTGTGCCTTGGCACACCACTTCCCAGGTGTCAAACCATCCCAGTGGGTGCGTGGTGGCGGTGGGGCAGCGACGGGAGAGGTTTCTCACATGAGCGCGGAGACGTTTTTGCCCTCCAGCTCGCCCTTCTCGTAGCCCCACATGTTGCAGGCGGCGCGGTTGACCGCCAGGATGGTGCCCACCGCGCTGATGACCACCACACCGTCGGTGGCCTCCTCAACCCTGCCCAGCACCTGGCAATGGTAGTGGCGACAAATGGGGGCCACGGGGCGGTCGAGTTTGGGTGTGTCAGGGGAGAAGGCGGGGCAAATCAGTTCATCGTTGACTGCTGTTGCCAGGAACAGTAGCCTGCATACACAGTGCAGCTACAGACCTGCTTGAACCCGCTGGTCCTCCACCTGCTGATTGGGCCGGGTGGTTTGCAGGCTGCAAAATTGTCACACAACCCCCTGTCCACCCAGTCCCCACTCACGGTGAGAGATGCATCATGCCCCTCGCCACTGCCGCCCTCCAGCAGTGCCATGAGGCTCTCGCCCGTTCCATGGCGGATCGCCTCTTGATAGCAGCGCTGCGCTGTGGAGGGCTCGTTTTTTACCCACTGCGGAGGACACCGGCCAAGAGCGTTGGCAGAGCAGAGTCACAGCACGTTTGTGGCGGTCTACAACAATAACACGACACACGCGTGAAAGGATATAACGCCAGGGCAACGGGAAGCGCACATCCAAGGATCGTGGGAAACCAACCTCCAGGAAGCGGCCGTACGCCCTCAACAGTCGCCCGTTGGTGGGGTAGCGCTCCAACACCCTTTGCAGCGCCAAAGGTTGCGGGCATTTGGAAAGGGCATGTGATGCGTCCCCAGGGCACGGGCTTCAGTTGCTGCTGTTGGTCTAACGCCAGGGCCTGCACCAGTCATACAGCAACCAGAGCCCAGGCAATCCGTCACCCATCAAGGTGTCCTGAGCCCGGTGTAGTGGGCCCACCTGCGGTACACCTGGGTGGCCTGCCCCTCCGCGCGGTGCATGGCAGCAAAGCTCGTCTGCAGGGTTTTGAAGGGGACGCTGTCGTGCAGCAGGGTCTGCCAGAACAGCCGCTGCGCCTGGAGCGCCACGCGGTGTGCGCGGACGCAGGCACGGAAGTTGCTGGACGGAGGGAGCGTCGGCGCAAAGCACAGGCGTCGAGGAAGATGGAGGGTGAGAAAAATGCAGCATCAAAAGCATGAAGCAAGCAGAGCCATCCTTTGCTCATCGGCTCAGCAGGCAGTGGCACGACATCAAGCGTTGACGGCCGGGCCTCACCGCTGGAACTCGATGAAGCTCATGAGGTCCATGCCCCCACTCTCATCCTTGAGCCGCTTGACCAGGTCCTGGTGTTGGTGTGCGGTCGACGTGGTGTCTGGGGCGGAGTTCAACGGCCAGGTCTGGCAAGCAGTTGCAGAATGGCGGATACATCAAGCACCGGCTCAACACGCTGCCATCATCACCTGCGTCTTGAAGATATGGAAGCGCTCGATCAGTCCCAGGTTGTGCCCGCCGGCCTTGACCACCAGCTGCAGGTAGGTGCGCGCGGCCTGGACGTCCCGCCGTCCCTGAGGGAGCAGGGGACCGCGACACAAAGGGAAAACTTGTTCATGAGGCGATGCTGCAGCAACGTGGGTGCACAGGGCCGAAGACCTGATTGTTTGCCCAACTTCCGCACACACCTCGATGCTGACGTTGGCCAGGGCCAGCAGCAGGGATGGCTCGTTGGGGTATCGCGCCAGGCCGCACTGCGGATGTTGAGGAGGGGCAGAGGCAACGACGCGATCAGAGGCGCCAGGTGGTGGATCAACGGGTAGTTGGATGTAGCGGGTTGCAGGAGCTCGACACCAAGCATCCCCAGTTTGACTCACCTTGAGGACGAACTCTCCAAACTCAAACTCGCGCATGACCAGGACGTTGTCCTCGTCCCACACGCGCATCGCCCTGGCCAGGAAAGCCGCCTGAGGAGGGATGGTTGCGGGACCAGGTGCACCAAGGCGGGCAGGGGAGCAATTGGTGGCGGTGTGCCGCGAGGGTGGCGACACGACAGCATTTGACAGCATGCTCATCTGCTATTTTGAGGGGCACGCGCCTTGCGCAATCCGCTCACCTCCTGAGGGGTATTGAACCGATATACAGCTCTAAGGTTGTTCTGGGAGGCGGGGTCCTCTGCCGCGATGCGCAAGGCAGCCAGGGGCCGGCGAAGCCGACGCAGCCACAGCGCGGTGGCTGCCGCTCCAACTATGACGACTGGGAATATTCCCTTCAACACAGCCTGCAAGAGCACAGTCGTCAAGCGTGCAGGTTTACGCCGTCTTCATATCAGTACAATGTGCCCATGGACGCATGCATACCCCAACTATTTGATGCCTCCAAATGCGTGACCCAAGCTTTCGCGCCGTGCACGCAGGTGCGCGCACCCATGTCAGCTGCTCCGCCAGGACCTTGTCTCCTCGGCTTCTGAAGGTGATCACATTCTGTGGGGTTGTTTCAGAGGTGAGGTGCGTCGTTCAGGTTATGCTGGCTGGCAGGTGTGCAAGGGATCTGGCAAGGGAGTGTTGATCCGCCCGACTGGATTGCAAGTTTGCTGGGGGAACGAAATGAAGGATCTTAGAGCTGACTGCGCGCGCAGCCTACCTGGTAAGAATGGAATATATTGAAATATACTAACATGATAGATTCGTATATGCCCGAAAGTCCATGGTCAGCAATGACAGGAACAATGCAGGTGGCCGCGCTGATGCACGCGCCATTGAGAGGGTTGCATGCTGCGGGCACAGACTAGCGCACCAGGAGCACGCAGGTGTAGATGATGCCTGTCCACAGCCCAACCCAGGACATGGTAACAAGGTCAGAGTAGAAAGGAGCCTGGGAGCCGCAGCGACCGACAGCAACATGGGGAGGGGTTGCACACGAAGGAGTGAGGGGTGTTGACAGATGCTGCCAGGTTGCCAGCATACACTCCCCTGCTTGGGTGGGTGTGAAAACCAGAGCAGCCCTCAGTATCGCCCAGGGTTGGTTCACAGCCTGCCCCGAATGTTTCCTCACTGTTGTAAATATGAGGTAAGCGATGTATGCGGAGCACAGCACCATTGCCAAGCTCTGGAGGCGCGGGCTCTCGTCAGCAGCCGTGGACATGATGACCATCACAAACTGCGGTTTGTTGGCGGTGTTGCAGGGTGCGCCTGAAAGCCCGCAGATGTGCGCTACGTAGAGGCGTCCTGATGGATCGCCCGCCGCCAAGCGCCATGGATGAGCCATGCGCGGTCACCGCCGCTTGCGCAGTCGCGGGTGGTGGTGCTTGTGACACGCTTCTCCCTCAACACCGGACGGCTGGGCGGACGCGGGCTGCGCCACAGACCTTGAGCAGCAAGACCTTCAGGTTTGTGAGGGTTGCTGGTGTGGCCAGGGGGCTGCGCGTCAGGGTGTTCAGGTCGCACGAGCCAACAGACTGCCGGAGCATTGATGAGAAAGGGAGGGGTTTGAGCAGTGGACAACAGAGTTGAAAAGGGCCATGTCACCGGTAGCACCTGACGCGTGTGGCAACCTGTGGTCACCAGATGTGCAGATCACAGGTTGCCACACACAAACAATTGTGTTGGCAAGCCCCAGCAAAGGGGCACAACGTGGGGTACGCACAAGCACACATGCAGCACACCTCCCGTCCTGCCCAGCCTTACCAAGGCCAGGCATGTCGCACAGAAGATAGCTACAAGCACAACGCCAAAGACCATGTGCGCCAGATGGGGCATGGCCAGGCAGGTCCTGCAAGGCAGAAGCCAGCGACGCGTGATGTGCGCCCATGAAACGAGGATCATTGCTTTGCTTGCTGCACTCCTCAATACATACGCGTAGACGACCGTGCACGTGCGCACGTGCGCACGCACGCACGCACGCACGCACACACACGCGCATGCGTGCGCACATACACACACACACACACACAGCTCGTGCTGTGTCCCACCTGGAAGCCGTGCACACCCTTGTGACCCCAAGAATGCACTCACGTGTTTGGAAAATGCAGATGTGGGGCCAGGGAGGATATCGCGGTCCAATTGCACGCAAACCTGCGGCCCTCGCCACGAGAAGACAAGGACAGCATTCCCGTCAGAGTCTGGACACACTGTGCAAGCAGGAGCATGTCCACGAGCAATACAAGCGGCCTCAGCAGGCCCCCGAGTGGACACCCGCCTGGCGCAGGGTGCTGCACATGCAGCGATGCCCTCACAGTGAACCTCGAGGCCTTTTTCGCTGCCCACGGTGCGTGTCGTGCACGGCGCCTCACATGAAGACGATATAGTCCAGGATGGAGGTCCATGCGACCGAGAACACGACCAGGGACGTCAGCTGGAGGGCTTTCACAAGCCTGAGCGTGTGGGAGGGTCCAAAGGGGGTGAGGC